GTTTCAAGATTTTTGTTTGTCTGTCTGCAATGCTGGGACTGACTTCAGGGCCTTGCATATGCTTGGCGAGTGCTGTATCACTGAGCTGTAGCCCAGTCCCTTAATTTTTTTTTTTTTGAGACAGGGTCTTTTTATGTTGCCTAGGTAGGCACAAGTGATCCTACACCTCAGACTCCAGGCATGTATCACCACACCCAGCTTAACTTCAAATTTTTTGGTTACATGTATAGTTCAATAGTAGAGCACGTGTTTGGTTACCATAACTGAGTGGCTGGGTTATACACACACACACACACACACACACACACACACACACACACACAACACATGCATGCAAAATCAGTTCCTTAATCCCAGTGTCCATATTTTTTTCTTTTTTTGGTCTTTTTAAGATAGGGTCTCCCTGTAGCCCCAGCTGGCCAGGAACTTGCTATGTAGACCAGGCTGGCCTTGAACTCCAGAGATCTGCCTACCTCTGCCCCTGCCTCAAGAGTGCTGGGATTAAAGGCATGAGCCACCACACCTGGCTTCCCAGTGCCCATATTTCAAGGGCTCAACAGCCAGATGTAGCTAGGGGCAACCGTTACTTACAGCACAGTATATAATATTCATATTAATATCTATTCTATGGCATAGTCTTGTAGGCAGGCTTACAGGGTCAGTCTTGAAGGCTCTGGTTCAAATCCTGTAGCTGTTACATTATCATGGCCAAGTAAGTTGACATCTCTTTGAGCCTTAGCTATAGAAGGGGAAGTAGGGGATATAGCCCTTTGTGCCTAAGACCTTGGCAGGGATTCAACTAGATGTCAAATGTGAGAGGCTTTGCCCAAAGGCATATTAAGTTCTTAGAAGTCTGGAGCAAGGGGGCTGCAGAGATGGCTCAGAGGTTAAGAGCCCTTGTTGCTCTTGCAGAGGACCCACATGGTGGCTAATAACCATCCATAATTCCACTTCCTGGGGATCCAACACCACCTTCTGGCCTCTTCAAGCACTGCACACAGGTGGTGCAGTTCTATACCTGCAGGCAAAACACTCATAACACATAAATTTTTTTTAAAAAGGGGAAAGTCAGGAGCTATTATAATTCTGAGTTTGAAAACAGTTTCCATTTCTTCACAGGCCAGAAATTCTAGCTTTTGAGGCTCCATCCAGTGTCAGCCTTCTCAGGAAACCATTGGTCTGCCTCTCAGCCAAGCACAGTGTGAATGAGTGGAGCTGACTTCTGTCTTTTCTGTCTTTGGACACAGCCGCTCAATTAGCCTTTGAGTATGGAAGACACGAAAGAATGGGGCTAATACAGGCAGGATTTGACTGGGCCTTTACAAGACTAAGCAGGCGGGTACAGGAAGTCATTATTATTTTGTTTCTGACACAACTGACCCGGTGTTTTCCTGCAGGAGAAGTTCATCTTTAGAATAAACACCTTAGTCTTTCTCCTCTCACCTACTAGCTCCTAGGGGACACTCAGCCAAGGTAGGAGCTCAAGGATCTTGCCCTTCCCCCTTTGGCCCAAAATAACCTCTTCCCCCCACTTGGAGTGAATGCTTGGAATTCTTTCAACTGGAGGACAAAGCCTTTCATCTGCCAATTACTGGTAAAGAGAAAATGCAAATATGCTAGAGGAGGTGATCCATCAAGGGCCCAACGTTTATGGAGTGATCACTTAGACCCAGCGGCAGGGTAGGGTTCTGGGGGAGTCAAAGGGGAACAAACCCTAGGCTTGCCCATTCTTCTCTCAGGTTTGCGGTTTCCTTGAGGTTTGTAAAGGGAGGGGATTAAATTAGGTGAATAGTCAACCCCTTCCCACTCTGACAAGCCAGAAACTCCCCACTGACGTGATATATGGACTTAACCGTTTTTACACTGATGGCTAACATCAGACCTTTTCCTAACACCAGTCTTTGGGGAACACCATGAAGCCACTGGGGGGAGGGAGAGTCTCAGGAAGATGGAGAAAGATCAAGTTTCCTAATTGCTAGTTTTGTCTTATTCTTTCACTGATCTCCAGCCCAGGCACCCCCTTTAAGCGTGTTTACTTCATTTTGAAGCAGGAATAAAACTGGTGAATATTTGAAAAGGCACATGATAGCCAAGCTAGGCAAGCTGTGTGATCTTGGATGAGTGGTTTTGCCTTTCTGAGTCCCAGTTTCCTTGTTTACAAAACAGAATAACAAAACAAGACAGTTCACTGAAAAGGTTGTCTGTTTCTCATGAGAAAAGGGAAGTAAATAAAAAGGTCCATGGTTCTTTTTACTTTTCCTTTTTTTTTTGAGGGAGGGGGGCCGTGTTTGTGCTGGGTATGGAACTCAGCCTCATTCTTGCTCGTCAAATGCTCTACCACCGAACTACATCATCCCCAGCTGGTCCCTGGTTTTCAACAGAGGAATGCAGAGTTTTCATTCTAAAAGTTGCTGGTGGGATGCAGCTGAGCCAGTGTAGGTGATTTCAGTTTGTCAGGAGATTTTGATGTTGGCTAGCCTCATCCCTATTTCAGACTTTTATAGCTAGTGACCAAGGATTAAAACAAACTTCAAAGAATAGCCTTTGGGAACAGGTGGAAGACTACAGAATGATATGACGGGAAATTTTAAGGTTAGGGAGGGAGAAGCCATCTTTTAGGGTGACCAGTTCTGAGCAGATGGCTCACAGCTGATCTCTAGTGTCAAAGCCACTTCCTCCCACATCTGTCTGAGTGCTTGTTGATATGGGGACTAGATAAAGAGGTAGAACAACCATCCAGATTCATAATTTCTCAAAGCCTTAGTTTCCCAATGTGCAAAATGATCTGCTTTAACTTATCCACAGGATTAAAAGCAGAACCATGCTGTGTTCCTACATGCCAGGAGCATTTAGGAGGTCTGTCATGGTACCTCTGGTGCTATGTGATTAGGCCTTGCACAGAGGTAGGATGGGAAGAAAGTTTAGGGCCAGCTTTTCTCACAACTAAAACGGATCTGGTTTGTTAATTAAAATATACAGGACAATTCGGGGGGTCGTCGGAAGCACTACGTAAGAGAACAGAAAGGTATTGGGATCTGACAATCCGTGTATATTCATAGAGGGTACCTCTGGCTCTGCTAGGAAGTTTCATAGGATTAATCAAGGTGCTCCTTAAGTTTCCCATGCCATCCCAGAAAGCACGGAGGTTCTCGCTTTTAAATCCCCAAGCAAAAAAAAGGCTTACCTTTCGCCTGCTTGCATTAGAGCCGCTGAACCCGAATCCCTGAGTGTTTCCCTCCTGTGCATCGATTTTTCTTCTCTTGGCGAGCGCAAGAACTTAAAAAAAAAAAAAAAGACAACTTCAGTTTCAGGGCTGTTCGCCTAGTAAAGGACTCCACCGAGGCGGGCAGAATGAATGAATGAAAGGCAGTCTTCCGGTCAGCTGCAGTCTGAAGAGGCTCTGGTCTGGCTGTATTTCCTGTACGTGTGTGTGTGTGTGTGTGTGTGTGTGTATGTCCATATTCATATTATCATTTCAGTCCTGGGAGTTTAAAAGTTATGCAGTCTACACAGATACAGAGCTGCACTAATTTCCTTCTGAGCTCCTCAGATGCCTCCTCCATATGGCAGGTTCGCAAATAGATGGGGGTATGGGCAGGATCGCCCCTCCCCCAAGATGTGCAGTAGAAAAGCAAAAACAGAAAAAAAGATTATACATGCAAAATACTTTGCATTTAGGTTGTCAGCCCAAGTAATGAGGAAAGGTGGATGGATGTAGGAAGAGAGGCAGCG